CCAAGTGAGTGTAAAACGAAAGCCTGTAATTGTTTTACATGATGGTAGGATTACTGGTGTCTTTTGTCTGTCTCATAAATATGCAAGATTACAGGCATGTCTTGCTACTTCTACTTACACTTAGGTCACACTACACATACATGTACACGTTTATTTATACACACTCATCCAAGTTTTCTTTGATTTTATCTTAATAGTTCTTGGTCTTATTACTTTTCCTTTTATATCCATGGGGAAGTGGAATAAGAATCTTTCCTCCGTAAGCCATGCGTGTTGTAAAAGTCAACTAAAATGGCGGGAACAATGGGCTAGTAACCCCTTTTCCTGTAAAGATTACTAAAAAGAATAAGAAGAAGAAAATTGTCAAAGTGGGAAGTCTGAATGTGCGTGGATGTTGTGCGAATGATAAGAAAGAGATGATTGGGGATGTTATGAATGAGAAGAAGCTGGATGTCCTGGCTTTAAGTGAAACAAGCTGAGGGGGTGGGAGAGTTTCAATGGAGAGGAATAAATGGGATTAGGTCAAGGGTTTCAAATAGAGTTAGAGCTAAACAAGGAGTAGCAATAATGTTGAAGGATAAGCTATGACAGGAAAAGAGGGACTACAAATTTATTAATTCAAGGATTATGTGGAGTAAAATAAAGATTGGATGTGAAAAGTGGGTTATAGTAAGCGTATATGCACCTGGAGAAGAGAGAAGTGTACAGGAGAGAGAGAGAGATTTTGGGAAATGCTGAGTGAATGCGTGGGGATTTTTGAATCAAGTGTGAGAGTAATGGTGGTTGGGGATTTCAATGCTAAAGTGGGTAAAAATGTTATGGAGGGAGTAGTAGGTAAAATTTGGGGTGCCAGGGGTAAATGTTAAATGGGGAGCCTTTAATTGAGCTATGTGTAGAAAGAAATTTGGTAATAAGTAATACATATTTTATGAAAAAAGAGGATAAATAAAATATACAAGGTATGATGTAGCACGTAATGAAAGTAGTTTGTTAGATTATGTATTGGTGGATAAAAGGTTGATGGGTAGGCTCCAGGATGTACATGTTTATAGAGGGGCAACTGATATATCGGATCATTATTTAGTTGTAGCTACAGTTAGAGTAAAAGGTAGATGGGAAAAGAGGAAGGTGGCAACAACAAGTAAGAGGGAGGTGAAAGTGTATAAACTAAGGGAGGAGGAAGTTCGGGGGAGATATAAGCGACTATTGGCAGAAAGGTGGGCTAGTGCAAAGATGAGTAGTGGGGGGGTTAAAGAGGGTTGGAATAGTTTTAAAAATGCAGTATTAGAATGTGGGGCAGAAGCTTGTGGTTATAGGAGGGTGGGTGCAGGAGGAAAGAGGAGTGATTGGTGGAATGATGAAGTAAAGGGTGTGATAAAAGACAAAAAGGTAGCTTATGAGAGGTTTTTACAAAGCAGAAGTGTTATAAGAAGAGCGAGTATATGGAGAGTAAAAGAAAGGTGAAGAGAGTGGTGAGAGAGTGCAAAAGAAGAGCAGATGATAGAGTGGGAGAGGCACTGTCAAGAAATTTTAATGAAATTAAGAAAAAATTTTAGAGTGAGTTAAACAAGAAAGCCTAGGGAAAGTATGGATTTGTCAGTTAAAAACAGAGTAGGGGAGTTAGTAGATGGGGAGAGGGAGGTATTAGGTAGATGGCGAGAATATTTTGAGGAACTTTTAAATGTTGAGGAAGAAAGGGAGGCGGTAATTTCATGCACTGGCCAGGGAGGTATACCATCTTTTAGGAGTGAAGAAGAGCAGAATGTAAGTGTGGTGGAGGTACGTGAGGCATTACGTAGAATGAAAGGGGGGTTTAAAGCAGCTGGAACTGATGGGATCATGACAGAAATGTTAAAAGCAGGGGGGGATTATAGTGTTGGAGTGGTTGGTGCTTTTGTTTAATAAATGTATGAAAGAGGGGAAGGTACCTAGGGATTGGCGGAGAGCATGTATAGTCCCTTTATATAAAGGGAAAGGGGACAAAAGGGATTGTAAAAATTATAGAGGAATAAGTTTACTGAATATACCAGGAAAAGTAAAACGGTAGGGTTATAATTGAAAGAATTAGAGGTAAGACAGAATGTAGGATTGCGGATGAGCAGGGAGGCTTCAGAGTGGGTAGGGGATGTGTAGATCAAGTGTTTACATTGAGGCATATATGTGAACAGTATTTAGATAAAGGTAGGGAAGTTTTTATTGCATTTGTGGATTTAGAAAAGGCATATGATAGAGTGGATAGAGGAGCAATGTGGCAGATGTTGCAGTATATGGAATAGGTGGTAAGTTACTAAATGCTGTTAAGAGTTTTTATGAGGATAGTGAGGCTCAGGTTAGGTGTGTAGAAGAGAGGGAGAATACTTCCCAGTAAAAGTAGGTCTTAGACAGGGATGTGTAATGTCACCATGGTTGTTTAATATAGTTATAGATGGGGTTGTAAAGAAGTAATGCTAGGGTGTTCGGGAGAGGGGTGGGATTAAATTATGGGGAATCAAATTCAAAATGGGAATTAACACAGTTACTTTTTGCTGCTGATACTGTGCTTATGGGAGATTCTAAAGAAAAATTGCAAAGGTTAGTGGATGAGTTTGGGAATGTGTGTAAAGGTTAGAAAGTTGAAAGTGAACATAGAAAAGAGTAAGGTGATGAGGGTATCAAATGATTTAGATACAGAAAAATTGGATATCAAATTGGGGAGGAGGAGTATGGAAGAAGTGAATGTTTTCAGATACTTGGGAGTTGACGTGTCGGCGGATGGATTTATGAAGGATGAGGTTAATCATAGAACTGATGAGGGAAAATAGGTGAGTGGTGTGTTGAGGTATATGTGGAGTCAAAAAAAAATTATCTATGGAGGCAAAGAAGGGAATGTATGAAAGTATAGTAGTACCAACACTCTTATATGGGTGTGAAGCTTGGGTGGTAAATGCAGCAGCGGGAGACAGTTGGAGCAGTGGAGATGTCCTGTCTAAGGGCAATGTGTGGTGTAAATATTATGCAGAAAATTCGGAGTGTGGAAATTAGGAAAAGGTGTGGAGTTAATAAAAGCATTAGTCAGAGGGTAGAAGAGGGGTTGTTGAGGTGGTTTGGTCATTTAGAGAGAATGGATCAAAGTAGAATGGCATGGAAAGCATATAAATCTATAGGGGAAGGAAGGAGGGGTAGGGGTCATCCTCGAAAGGGTTGGAGAGAGGGGGTAAACTAGGTTTTGTGGGTGAGGGACTTGGACTTCCAGCAAGCGTGCGTGAGCGTGTTAGTTAGGAGTGAATGGAGACGAATGGTACTTGGGACCTGACGATCTGTTGGAGTGTGATCAGGGTAATATTTAGTGAAGGGATTCAGGGAAACCAGTTATTTTCATATAGTCGGACTTGAGTCCTGGAAATGGGAAGTACAATGCCTGCACTTTAAAGGAGGGGTTTGGGATATTGGCAGTTTGGAGGGATATGTTGTGTATCTTTATACATACATGCTTCTAAACTGTTGTATTCTGAGCACCTCTGCAAAAACAGTGATAATGTGTGAGTGTGGTGAAAGTGTTGAATGATGATGAAAGTATTTTCTTTTTGGGGATTTTCTTTCTATTTTGGGTCACCCTGCCTCGGTGAGAGATGGCCAACTTGTTGGGAAAAAAAAAAAAAACTGAAGCATGGTGTAAGAGGTGTGCGTCACTCGTCTTGTCTTAGCACTCCACTAATGACAGTGGTATTACACACAATGCAGTGCATCACATCTGAGGCCTGATATTACTATTTGCCAGTCTGGATTTTTTGGGTTATCCTAAGTAATTTATACTATGTATAATTGCATTTATGTGTACCTGTGAGACAGACAACCAGCCAGCCAGCTACTTGACCAGCCAGCCACCTGACCAGCCAGCCAGCCACCTGACCAGCCAGCCAGCCACCTGACCAGCCAGCCAGCCACCTGACCAGCCAGCCAGCCACCTAACCAGCCAGCCAGCCACCTAACCAGCCAGTCAACCTCCTGACCAGACATCAAGCCAGCCACCCAGCCAATGTTGTTTACACAAATTCACACTGCCTTCCCCATCTTCAGTGGTACTTCAATCTGTGTTAGAACTATTAGTTGGGAAGAGAATAGTCTCAAGCTTGGCTTGGTGACAAAGGTGCACTGAATTACCACTCCCACAATACAATGCAGGTGCCTAGATTTTTTCCTACTGTGCACACTAACCATGCAAATCCATTCTATCACATGTAGGCCTAACAGCTTTCTCTTGCTTGATTTGAAGGCGCTAGAATTTATGCGTACAAGTACGTGACCAACTATGACTGCAATGACGTACTTGTATGTGACCGACCCTCAAAGGGTTAAGCATCGACGGGTGTCTTTTCATAGTCCAACAGCTCAACATAAGAGCATAACTTTATTTGACCCTTTTCATGGCTTTCCATGCTGTTCACATTTATTAAAGGTCTGCTAGCCATTGCCATTTAATTTACATTTATAGCAATACCTTTCATGCCATATATTAATGGTTCTAGGATTGTTGCTCTCATGGCATGGTCCCCAATCAGTCCTGCTAAATTAGAGGACACTAAAAAATAAAAAGAAACACACAGGAAAGTAATGATTAAAACAATATATGCAAGCAGAAGTCAGAGATTTAACTGTTTTATTAAATGTTTATTAGACAGAATGGAAAGACTAGCAATTCTGCCCGAGTTTGAAACAATGAATATATTTACATTGCACATTCCTACCTCTGATGGGTTTAGTTTTCCTACTCTTGCAGACCAGCTCTGGGTCAAGCCTGTCATTTGAACAGCTACTAGTACCTCCCTGGATGATTGCTGTGTAACAACCCATTACCTACCTTCTATTAATGGTCTTACAACCGATATAACATATATAATTTTTTGAGGAGTCTTTGTTTAATTGCATTTCTTGAACTATGACCTATAAGAAAATAAAATTAGCACAAAGTACCTACAAGTCACAATCCTAATAATTACATACATTCTTATATCAGTACTTACTTGTTTAATGAGCTTTAAAGCCTGCCTTCCAGCTTCAGTGAGATGGAGGGTCTGTCCATGGGCTACAGCAGACGTTACTAATGTTGATGAGTCATCAATAGGCAGAAGAGCAGCCTGAGCCTTCAGTAGCTCTAAGGCAGTTGCACTTGACATGTCTGTAATATTCAAGATAAAACTAATTTTTTTTTTTAACATACTGGCAGTTTCCCACTGAGGCAGGGTGACCCAAAAAGAAAGAAAAAAACTTTCATCATCATTCAACATTTTCATCATCACTCATACATAATCACTGTCTTTGCAGAGGCGCTCAGATACGACAGTTTAGATGTCCCTCCAAACTGCCAATATCCCAAACTCCTCCTTTAAAGTGCAGGCATTGTACTTTCCACTTCCAGGACTAAAATCCAGCTAACTGGTTTTCCTGAATCCCTTCACAAAATATTACCCAGCTTACAGTCCAACAGTTCGTCAGGTCCCAAAAACAAATTGTCTCCATTCACTCCTATCTAATATGCTCACGCACACTTACTGGAAGTCCAAGCTCCTCTCCCGCAAAACCACCTTTACCTCCTCCCTTCAACCTTTTCAAGGACGACCCCTACCCTGCCTTTCTTTCCCTACAGATTTATACACTCTCCAAGTCATTCTACTCTGTTCCATTCTCCCTACATGACCAAACCACCTTGACAACCCCTCTTCAGCCCTCTGAATAACACTTTTAGTAACTCCACACCTCCTCCTAATTTCCACACTACAAATTTTTTTCATAATATTTACACTGCACACTGCTCTTAGACATGACATCTCCACTGCCTCTAGCCTCCTTGCTGCAGCAATCACAACCTATGCTTCAAACCCATATAAGCGTTGATACAACTATACTCTCGTACATTCCCTTCTTTGCCTCCATGGATAATGTTTTTTGTCTCCACAAATACCTCAAAGCACCACTCACCTTTTTTCCTTCATCAGTTCTATGGTTAACCTCATGCTTCATACACCCATCTGGTGACAAATCAACTCCCAAATATCTGAACACATTCACTTCTTCCACCTCCCTCCCTCCAATATGACATCCAGTTTTTCTTTATCTAAATCGTTTGATGCCCTCATTATCTTACTCTTATCTATGTTCGCTCTCAACTTTCTTCCTTTACACACCCTCCCAAACTTGACCACTAACCTTTGCAACTTTTCTTTAGAATCTCCCAAAAGAACAATATCATCAGCAAAAAATAAATGTCAACTCCCATTTTGTATTTGATTCCCCATAATTTAATCCAACCCCTCTCCCCAACACCCTAGTATTTACTTCTTTTACAACCCCATCTATAAATATGTAAAACAACCATGGTAACATTACACATCCCTGTCTAAGACCTACTTTTACTGGGAAGTAATCTCCCTCTCTCCTACACACCCTAACCTGAGCCTCACTATCCTTGTAAAAACTCTTTACAGCATTTAGTAACTTACTACTTATTCCATACACCTGCAACATCTGCTGCATTGCACCTCTATCCACTCTAATATATGCCTTTTCTAAATCCATAAATGCAATGAAAACTTCCCTACCTTTATCTAAGGACTGTTCATAAAACTAAATAAAAAAAAAAGTAGCTGGCAACATTTACACCTGAGCCTTGCCACCCACCAGTCTCATATTTTGCTGTAAATATCAGGATATACTTGTTACATTTTCTTCTCTGGGTCACCCTACCTTGGTGGGAGACAGCAATTGAATAAAAAAAATGGCATGTGTTCAAGGCACATAAAATTGTGGTTTTGTACATCTGAATTGTAGAAGCCTAACCCCCACAATTTATGGGGGTTAGGTTCCTGGAGGTGATGTGAATTACGAAGCAGTGGATAATAGGAAATTTCATGATGGTATTATTGTTAATTGAGTTGACCATGTATCTTTAAATACTGTTCTAATCTGCTTAATACTGACATGCATAATTTTTTTTTCTGAAATCCTATGGCTGATTTCTAATTTATGGGTTTTGCATCATGAAAAAGACAATGGGCATTGAAATGTGAATAATCAAAGTTATCCACAAACTACCCCTCATTAAAAAGGTATAATCAAATCATGAAGACTATGAGGCATGTGGATTCTGGGGTTGGACTATACACAGGCAGGAGGACTGCCATGTGCTTTTCACAACCCTTCTTTACACTATTTGTTTCTTTTACAATTCCCATAGTTTCCTGGAGATAGAAATACATTTTTTATTTTTGGTTAGGTTATGTCAAGGTTGGTTACATAAACTTAAAAAAAAAAAAAAAAAAAAAATATATTTAAGCACAAATTACCACCTCTACTTTCCTTGCACAAACATTTCACTATAGCAGCCCTTTTCAAACATTTATCAGCAAGTGATCTTGCATGTTGCATAAATGAATTAAATTTGGCTGTAAATAACTGGGTATAATGCCTACATATGGCATATAAAGAATGACAGGAATTCAATAAGTATGGTGATAACCACTTTGAAGCTACAGAAACAGAGCTGAATTCCTGCAGAACTACCTCCTCCTTTTCCAGTCTTTCCTTATTCTACCACTCTGAAGCATAGCTTTCAAGTATCCTTTCAGCTCTTTTTCTTTCTAAGTTTATAGTTACAGCACTTTGTTTTGCCAAGTGATGGGGTTGATAATGTTTCTTTTTGATTCTTTATTTTCCCTTTACATTCTCCTGTTTTTTTTTTTGTATGAGCTTTTAGGCTTTACACATAACTTGTATTCTTTACTTCTGAAAGCTATTTCGTAGCGGACTTTTGCAACTTTCCTTCTTTTTTTTGGGAGGGCAAAATAAAAAAGGGTCCTGGTTTTTTTCTTGACTTTCCCCCACATTTCCCCAATTTTTTTTTCTGAAAAGAAATTAAAACCCCCCTTTTTTCTGTTTCCCCGGTAAAATTTATTTAAGAAATTTTTTCAGAAGAAAATTTTTAGGTTTTCAATAAGGGAAAAAAGTTTTACCCCACATTAGGGGTGGGTTCCGGGTATTGACATAAAAAAAAAAGGGGAAACCATGGGTTTTAATTTTAGTTGCTTTTTTTACTGTCTATGTTAAGAAATATTTTCCCGAAATCTGGGCTTTTCTTAAGGTGCTTAAAAAAGGAAAGGGGGCATGAAATTTTATTTTTAATTTTTTACCAAAAAAAAAAAGGGGGGGGAAAACAAAAAGGGGGGAGGAGGGGGGGGGGGGGGAAAAAAGGAGGAGGGGGGGGGAAAAAATTTTTAATATTGCCCCCTTAACCCAAGAAAAAAAAAATCCATTTTTTGGGGGGAAAGTGGGGGGTTTTAAAAACTAAAAAAAAAAAAAAAAAAAATTTTTAAGCCATCCCTCCCTTTTTTTTTTGCACAAAAAACATTCGTTTTCTTTTTTTCGGTTTAAACCCCCCCTTGATTACCTCTGTTAGGAAGCCCAAGATTGCTAGTTTCCCCAATTTCAAGAGTATACCTTTGGGTTTCGGGACCGGGAAATTTTCCAGTATACTTTTTTTTTGTTCCTTTTTAACAAAAAGGGCAGCAAAAGGGAAAAAATTAAAATTTTTAAAAAGGGGGGAAAAGAAATTTTGAATGAGGGGGGGCCTTAAATTTTTTTTGATTTATTTTCTAATCTTTTTTTTGAACTGGCTTTACCAAAAAATTTTACCAAAGACGAGCGGCCCCGGGCACCGCACAAAAGGGGGGGAAAGGAGGAGGGGAAAAGGGGGGAAGGGGGGGGAAAAAGGGGGGGAGGAAGGGAAAAGGGGAGGAGGAGGGGGGGGAAAAGGGAGGGGGGGGAGGGGGGGGGAAGGGGGGGAAGGGGGAAGGGGGGGGGGAGGGGGAAAGGGGGAGGGGGAAAGGAAAGGGGAAAAAGGGGGGGGAAGAGGGGGGGGAGGAAAAAGGGGGGGAAGGGGAGGGGGGAAAAAAGGGAAGGGGGGGAAAAGGGGGAGGGGGAGGGGGAAAAAAGGGAAAAAGGGGTGGGGGGAGGGGAGGGGGAAAAAAAAAAGGGGGGGGGGAAAAGGAAAAGGAGGGGGGGGCCGGGGGGGAAGGGGGGGGGAAGGGGAAAGGGAGGAGGGGGAGGGGAGGAAGGGGGGGGGGGAAAAGGAAAAAAAGGGGAAAGGAAAAGGGAAAGGAAAAAGGGGAAAAAGGGAGGAAGGGAAGGGGGAAAAGGGAAAAAAGGGAAAAGGAGGAAAAAGGGAAAGAAGGGGGGAAAAGAAAAAGAAGTTTGTTTTTTTTTTTTGGTTTTTTTTTGTTTTTGAAAAAATTTTTGAAACAAAATTGAAAATTTTGTGGCAGGTTTTCAAGAGTTAAATAAAATTGCCCCTTTACTTTGTTTATGGAAAAATTTTTTTGGAAAAAAAAAAATGAAAAAAAAAAACCTTCAAAAAGAAACAAAGTTTACCGGGGAGGGGCCCCCCTTTGATGGGTCTTTTTTGGGGCAAATCCCCTTTTAACTCGGAATGGAGGGAAAAAATTTTTTTTTTGGCTAAAAAAAGGGAAAAAAACTTAAATTTTTCAAAAAAAAAAAAATTTTTTTTTTTTTTTAAATTTGGCCTGTAAATTTTTCCCAACTGAAAAGAAAAGGGGTTAAAGGCCTCCTGGGTTAGAAAATGCCCCTGGTCCCCTACAGAGGGGCAGAGGACTTTGGGGACATGAGCTTCATTAAGGTGAAGTTTTTGCTCCTAATACTACCCTCTCCTGCAGCCCTGGACCAGCAGGTTATTGCAAACTTCAAAAAAATGTACACAAAAGCTCTGTTTTAAAAGGGGCTTTTTAGTGACCCCAAAATCAACTGACTCTAAGAGAGTTTTGGAGAGAGACTTTTTAAAATCCCCAAATTTTGTAAACCTTATAGGGAAGGCTTGGGGGGGGAGTGATAAGAGGACCTTTTAACTCTGTTGGGAAAAAACTGTGGCCCGAAAGGAGACCAAAGGGGATTTTTGAAGGGGTTTTAGGTAACCCCAGGAAATTTCCCTTGCCAGTTGGGAATCAATTGTGGCATTGGGGAAGTCCTTGGGGGGGAGGTTTGTGGGTATGGGAAGAGTTGGGGGAGGAGGACAATGAAAAACTAACTTGATGAGCTGCTAGATCAACTTCAACAGCAAAAGGGCCCACCCGAGGAAACTGGTTCGGGGGGGGGAGAGAGAAATTGAAGAAT